ACCTACTAGCGATGGGGTCCAACCTAGAAGCAATGGCCTCCAACCTACTAGCGATGGGGTCCAACCTAGAAGCAATGGCCTCCAACCCGCCAGCGATGGCCTCCAACCTACTAGATGGCCTCCAACCTGAAAGCAATGGCCTCCAACCTGCTAGCCATGGCCTCCAAACTAATAGCAATGGCCTCCAACCAAGTAGTCATGGCCTCCAACCTACTAGCGATGGCCTCCAACCTAATAGCGATGGCCTCCAACCTACTAGCGATGGCCTCCAACCTACCAGCGATGGCCTCCAACCTACTAGCGATGGCCTCCAACCTGAAAGCAATGGCCTCCAACCTAGTAGTATTGGCCTCCAACCTAATAACAATGGCCTTCAACCTAGCGATGGCCTCCAACCTAATAGCAATGGCCTCCAACCTAATAGCGATGGCCTCCAACCTAATAGCGATGGCCTCCAACCTAATAGCGATGGCCTCCAACCTACTAGCGTTGGCCTCCAACCTAGTAGCAATGGCCTCCATTCTAATGACGATGACCTCCACCTAATGAAAGAGAGCGTTTGTGTGTGTGTGTGTGAAGAGTTGCCAAAACATTCAAGAGCTAAACAACTTGCCAGCTTTTGCAAGCAAACAACAGAAGTGATGTTCACTTCAGAAAAGGGTCCAGGCTCGATCGGTCTTGGCACGGTTGTCTGCAAACTTTTTGAAGGCAAGTGCCTCCTGGCTGTGACCACCATGTTCATTGTCGATCTAGTTTGCTGAATAAGCACGGCAGACAGACCTCCCCCAAAGCATCAAGTGCCTTAAAGGCTTTTGACGCAGAAGTCCTTGGATTCAAGACACGGCTGTTGGCAACATAAGGCATGGAAGAGCAACCATCCTGCAACTGTTTTGCCTACTCTTACAAAGACCCTGAGCCCAATTCAATTTGTCTTCATCCTCATCTGCATCCTCGTCCTCTTCTTCCTCTTCCTAGGAAACTGACATGCAAACATGCAAGGCGGCAAAAGGAGGGTTGCTTCCTACGAGATTCTTCATGCAACGGAGCATTATGCTTTGCCTGGGCTAGGTAAGATGCTCCCTCTGCGAAAACAAAAAGCAAAGGACAGCACAGCGCTCAACTCACGCACTTCAATGGCAGGAAGCCACATCTCCTGCTGAGCTGCTACCGGCTCGGGCTCTTTGTTGCCTTGCAGATATCACATATGCTATGCTTGAGAAATGCTTTAAAGTTGCTCCAACCAGTTGCTGAAAGTTTGTCATTCTTGGCTCATGTGCAGCTCAAAACAAACCACAAGCCGCATAGACCAAGCGGCTGCCCTGATCGGAATCTGCCTGGCCTTCTTCCTCACTGGAGTTGGCAATCTTCCCTCCATCCTTGACTTCACGAAAATCGCCATGGATTTCAAAGAAAATGGTGAAAGTATTCAATAGTGTGAAGGAAGTTACGAAATTTATCGACAGGTGAGGAAGAGGAACTTGCCACTCAGTTGACTCTTGATTTGCTCACTCATCACTCATTTTACTCTTCATCACTCAGTTCATACATAGCTACCTTGCCTGTGAGCCCTGCGAGGAGCTGGCTGTGGGGTGGAAATGCTACTCTCAAGCGAAGCGAACGTGGACGCTGTGAGGACGCCACTGCGTGATCGACTGGGTCTCATGATAGCGCAAGTACGGACCGCAGTCTTTGGAAACCTGTGCGTTTCTACACGGATCTCTGAGAGCCTCTATGTTTCCCAACGGTTCCTCTAGAAACCATTCACCCTTCCTTTCTGTTTTTTGTCTCCGACAACTTGTACTTTTTCTCTAGAATAATTTGCTCTGCTTCTCTTTATGAAACTCCAGTCTCTTTACACCTTTCTCTAGAAACTTGTTTCTGTATATGTCCCCAGACCTCTTTGTTTTCTATACATGCATCCTTCCCCAACACAACCCTGCCACTTCAACTAGCAACTCCAAGTTGAGTTCCCAATGTAGCTCTAGCTGTAATCCATGCCAACCTCACTCACCTAATCACCCAGCCTTCCACCCTGAGCTTCAATGACTCGCAAGAACCATCGAAATTGGTTTTGCAACCAGGTTTCTTTTGAAAAACAGTAGATTTCCTGCGGAGAAAACTGCACAGTATGCAAATAACACCCTTGGACCTGAGTCTATTGCATGGAGGCAAAAAGGGCCAAGCGAAAGCTGACTGTGCGAAGATCCCAACAAGTTCACCAAACATCACAGCATCATATCATCACATTGAACATCATTACGGCAGAAATGCCAATCTTCATATTTAGGTCTATTGTTGTCTATTCCCTGTATCGAAGGGTTCTTAAAGGTGCATGATCCATGGTTGAGATCATTCCTGGCGTTTAGCAGAAACTTAGCTTTTAGCTCTTTATCCTTCCTTCCTGCCTTCCTTCCTTTGTAATTACAATGAATTCCGTGTAGACTGCAGCTTCGAGTTTAACTCCGATCTCGGGTCCTCAGAGTCTGAGTCCTCATAGTTTCCTGTGCCAAGGAAAACTAAACAAGCAAAATAATTGCAATCTTAAGGAATGGCCTCCAACCTAATAGCGATGGCCTCCAACCTAATAGCGATGGCCTCCAACCTAATAGCGATGGCCTCCAACCTATTAGCGATGGCCTCCAACCTAATAGCGATGGCCTCCAACCTATTAGCGATGGCCTCCAACCTATTGGCAATGGCCTCCAACCTAATAGCAATAGCCTCCAACCTATTGGCGACGGCCTTCAACCCAATAGCGATGGCCTCCAACCTAATAGCGATGGCCTCCAACCTATTAGCGACGGCCTCCAACCTAATAGCGATGGCCTCCAACCTATTAGCGATGGCCTCCAACCTATTGGCAATGGCCTCCAACCTAATAGCAATAGCCTCCAACCTATT